TGTGGCAGGCACCTGCAGTCCCAGCTACTTGGGAGGCTGAGGCAATAGAATCTCTTAAGTCCAAGAGTTGTAGGTGTGACACCACAGCACTCTACCCACAGCTATATAGTGAGACTCTGTCTCAAAAAAAAAAAAAAAAAAACTAACTTGTGTTTGATCTCAGAACTCTTCTTCAAATAAAATCTCTTCAGAACTATTTTTATTTATTTTTTGAGACAGCGTTATACTTTGTCACCCTCAGTAGAGTGCCATGGCATCATAGCTCATACAACCTCAAACTTCTATGCTCAAGCGATTGTCTTGCCCCAGCTTCCCTAGTAGCTGTGACTACAGGCCACACAACAACACACCCAACTATTTTTATTTATTGAGACAGAGTCTCAAGCTGTCACACTGGGTAGAGTGCTGTGGCATCACAGCTCACAGCAACCTCCAACTCCTGGGCTTAAGCGATTCTCTTGCCTAAGCCTTCCGGCTATTTTTTTTTTTTTTTTTGGTTGCGGTTGTCAGTGTTGTTTGGCAGGCCCGGGCTGGATTTGAACCCACCAGCTCCAATGTATGTGGCCGGCATCCTAGCCGCTTGAGCTACAGGCTCCAAGACAGCCAGCTATTTTTAGAAATGGGGTCTCATGCTTGCTCAGGCTGGTCTGGAACTCCTGAGCTCAAGCAATCCACCTGCCTCAGACTTCCAGATTGCTAGGATTATAGGCACGAGCCAACATACCCGGCCTCTTCAGAAATAGTAAACAAAACAGACAACAGCAGAGCTGCCCTCCACACTGGAGGAAGCTAGGCTTGAGTTACAGCTGAGTCCCTGAGGGGATTTCTGGAGCGTCCCAAAGAACATGATTGGAAAAAGCAAAATGAAGTAAAAGCATTAGTTTAGGAGACTCATAGACCTGGTTCAGATCACAGTTCCACTACTTACAAGCTTTGCGGTCCTAAACAAGTTATTTCAAGTCTCAGTTTCCTCATCTGAAAAAATGGTGCTAATGTTTAATTTTGATGTATTCTTGTGAAGGAGAGATAATAAAATGAAAGTTCAGGCTCTGTGCCTGTGGCTCAAGTGGCTAAGGCGCCAGCCACATACATCTGAGCTGGTGGGTTCCAATCCAGCCTGGGCCTGCCAAACAACAGTGACGGCTGCAACCAAAAAATAGGCAGGCATTGTGGCAGGCACCTCTAGTCCAAGCTACTTGGGAGGCTGAGGCAGGAGAATCGATTGAGCCCAGGAGTTGGAGGTTGCTGTGAGCACTATACCGAGGGCGACAGCTTGAGGCTGTCTCAAAAAAAAAGATGAAAGTTCATAGTAAGTACACGTAAATGACACCAGCAACTGGTTATTCTCATGGGAGAAACATCAGACCTGCTTCAAAGTAAAATCTGTACTAAGGAGAGTAAATAATAGACATTTGGGCTCTGCTGCAGGTACAACTGGCTGAAGGGTGTGTGTGAGTACATGGGGATATTGTGTGTTCATGTGAGAAGGAATTAAAGTCTTTGAGGATGTAGTTTAGGCGAGGTGGTGGTGTGCAATAGTGTGCATTTTCGTTAATTCAATAAATATCATTCCAAGCAGTGCAAAAATCTAAAAAAAAAAAGAAAAGAAAAATAGATTGAACACCAAACAGCACCAGGCACAGTTCTAGGTGTCCAGTGGTTAACAAAAGGAAATCTTTTTTTTTTTTTTTTTTTTTTTTTTTGAGACAGAGCCTCAAGCTGTCCCCCTGGGTAGAGTGCCATGGCATGGCATCTCAGCTCACAGCAACCTCCAACTCCTGGGCTCAAGCGAGTCTCCTGCCTCCGCCTCCCAAGTAGCTGGGACCACAGGTGCCTGCCACAACGCCCGGCTATTTTTTGGTTGCAGCCGTCATTGTTGTTTGGCGGGTCCTGGCTGGGGATTAGAACCCGCCACCCTAGATGTACGTGGCTGGCGCCTTAGCCGGTTGAGCTATAGGCGCAGAGCCAATAAAATGAAATCTAGTGTGTACATCTGTGTATAAAACCTCTGGGTGTACACCTTTTCCCCTTCAGGCTAGGATTGCCCCATTCTTTCCTAGGGTACCCCACGCAGGGGTGACTTTATGTCTGGGCTGAGAAAGTAGACAGGGAAGTGTGGGCAAACACTGCTGAGACCAGATAATAGGGAGTTTAATTTTTTTTCATTTTTGAAGTTTTTGGCTGGGGCTGGGTTATGAACCCGCCACCTCCGGCATATGGGGCCGGCGCCCTACTCCTTTGAGCCACAGGCACCACCTCGATGATCAGGAGATTTTTACCCCCATGAACCTGGTCTGAGTTTTCTCTTCCCTCCAGAGCCCTCCCTCCATGGAGTTCGGCCTGCTCAGCGAGGCGGAAGCCCGCAGCCCCGCCCTGTCGCTGTCGGACTCGGGCACTCCACACCCGCCGCTCCCGGAACACGGCTGCAAAGGCCAAGAGCACAGCGGTGAGCGCGCCCCCTTCTGGGGGTGGAAGAGATAACAGCTCAATCCCTAGCTGGGTGGGACCGTGGAGTGAAAGCCCAAATGGCAGAGGGTGGTTCAGGAGTTCCCTAAGTCCAAGAGCCCGCGCAGGCCTGGGCCCCCTGTGACCTGCGGGTACTGGCCCCCAGACTCGGAGAAAGCCTCAGCTTCGCTGCCTGGCGGCTCCCCAGAAGACGGCTCGCTGAAGAAGAAGCAGCGGCGGCAGCGCACGCACTTCACGAGCCAGCAACTGCAGGAACTGGAGGCGACCTTCCAGAGGAACCGCTACCCCGACATGAGCACGCGCGAGGAGATCGCGGTGTGGACCAACCTCACCGAGGCCCGCGTGCGGGTAAGCTCTCCTGATCCCAGCTCTCCACCTTGTGGGCCCTTGGCGAGCAGCTTGGAAACCAGCAACCTGCGGTTCTGCCCACCTGCCCCCATCTTCCAGCCCAACGCCCCACGCTCCCTGCGCCCGCAGCCCCACGTTGGGTCTCTGCTCTTACGCTCCCTACCTCCTCGACCACGGGGTTCTCCCAGACAACGTCTCTTGTTCTCCGCTTCACCTCTCCTTCACCCCATCCTACTGTTGCCCCAGATCCTGATGCCGCTTACTCAGTCCTGTCACCCACAGTTTATGTTCTTCGGCCCCTGACTCCCAACGCTCCTCTCCTCCCACTGTGTCTGCCACCTCATCTTGTTTATCCCCTGCACGGTCCCGGTCCGGGGTCGAACCCCCGTTGGCCGCGTGGCCCCAGGCCCTGACTTCTTCCTCCGCGCCCGCAGGTGTGGTTCAAGAACCGGCGCGCCAAGTGGCGGAAGCGTGAGCGCAGCCAGCAGGCGGAGCTGTGCAAGGGCGGCTTTGCGGCGCCCCTCGGGGGGCTGGTCCCGCCCTACGAGGAGGTGTACCCTGGCTACTCTTACGGCAACTGGCCACCCAAGGCGCTCGCCCCGCCGCTCGCTGCCAAGACCTTCCCGTTCGCTTTCAACTCGGTCAACGTGGGGCCTCTAGCTTCGCAACCCGTCTTCTCGCCACCCAGCTCCATCGCCGCCTCCATGGTGCCCTCGGCCGCGGCTGCCCCGGGCACCGTGCCAGGACCTGGGGCCCTGCAGGGCCTGGGCGGGGGCCCTCCCGGGTTGGCTCCGGCTGCTGTGTCCTCTGGGGCAGTGTCTTGCCCTTATGCTTCGGCCGCCGCCGCAGCCGCTGCAGCCGCCTCCTCCCCCTACGTATATCGGGACCCGTGTAACTCGAGCTTGGCCAGTCTGCGGCTCAAAGCCAAACAGCACGCCTCTTTCAGCTACCCCGCCGTGCCCGGGCCGCCCCCAGCCGCCAACCTCAGTCCATGCCAGTACGCCGTGGAACGGCCAGTATGAGCTGCCCGGCTGGAGGAGCATCTCCGAGGGTGGGGGCGACAATTCACAGCCTCCCCGGACTGGGGTCGTCTTGACTGACTTGCCCCCGCCCCAGGGTTTGAGAGGGGTGTTTGGGCCTTCCCCCTCCTAGCCTTGAGGGGTGGGCTAAGACCTACACATAGACCGCGCCCCTGGGACTAAGGCCAGGAACAGGGACCAGATCCTCGGGGGCCAACTCATCCTTGGCCCATCCCGCCTTCTCCAGACTCCCCTTCCCCAGTTTTCAAAGATAAATGAAATAAACGTGCGCGGACTGTCAAAGGCCTGATGGATGATTCAGAGTTGCGGTTGGGCCCCCTTCCCTTCATTCTTCCCCACTGTCTGAAGGAGAACTGAATGTACAGGGACGAGGTGAGGGTCCAGGCTTCAAGGGGTCAGTCCCATTCACCCTCCCCACGTCCAGGATGGGGAAGCTTTGGGATTCCTGGAGCGCAAGAGGTGCGTGTGTGGGGCTTGCAAAGCCGGTGCTACGGCGCCACCTCGTGGTCTCAGGGAAAATAGCTGGTAGGACTGGTTTCAAATGCTTATTTGCAGGTGTCAATTCTGCAATTTAAGACTATGACTTTAGATAAATTACTCCACCTCTCTGCACCTGTTTCTCATTGTTCCTAACAGCAATAAAATTCTGGTCTGTAACAGACATTTATTAAGTGCCTACAAGGCCTAGGATTCTTATTGTCTGCGTGTGCCTCTCATCCTTCCACACAACACACCCTCAGGCTTCCTGCTGATCACCTCCTGCCAGCAGTGCTCCCACTACAGCAGCCCCCTTTCCCCACCAAATTCCCCAATCTTCTTGAAATCTTTAATTTAAAAAATCAAGAAGAAGAAATATTTCTAGGTAGAAATATAAATAGCTCTGGGGACGCTCTTCAGTCCCACCCCAATCCCAGGGCCTGCTTGGCCTTCACATTAAAAACAAAAATATCAAAGTACCATACCATGCCCTCATCCCAGGGCTGACCCTTCTTGTTGGCCATAACTTCCTACCACCTCCCGTGGTATACACATCTCGTGTGGAAACCATGCAGGTAAGGTACTCGCATCATTCTCCCAAACCTAAGACTAGCCCCTTAGTACCCTGAGAAAGAGAGAGCCTGGGGTTTCATTGTTCTCTCCAACCTTTCATTGACTCTTGGTCTTAGCTTTGACCTTGGGCTTGATATAGGTTTGGCGGAAGAAGAGAGCAAATAGGATGAAATACGTTGCATACAAGACGAATGACCAGAAGAGGTCCTCCACCGTGGTTTGGCATCCCTGTTCCTGCCTCCAGATGTAAGTCAGTATGCTGACGATGGCTCCCATAAACATCTGCAGGATCTGTAGACTGGTGATGAGCATAGAAAGCACCCTAGGGGGCTTCACATTGGCAGCCTTCAGAGTGTAGTAGGTGTACATGATGGAATGTACACCAAAGTTCATGGTCATGAACCAGCCACCTGCAGGCACTATGTTCTTGTATCCAAAGCTTGTGTACACTAGCACTGTGCTGTGGTGGTACCAGTGCACAAAGATGAGTGGCCGCTTACGCAGGATGATGAAGACTGTGTCTCCTGGGAGATGGGGAGTCATAATTGTCATACCACCCAGTGCTGGGACCACCCTCCATACTGAGCATAGGGACACAGGAGAGAGTCTCAAGGGAGGCAGAGGGATCTTTATGGAAGAGGATCTGTAGAGGGGCTTGAGTGAAAGTGTTATTATGACCTAGGGGTGAGGAATGAGTGTGGTAAGTGAAAGGAGGCCCCTGAGGAAGGATACAGTTCACTGGGCACAGAGAGACAAAGCCTTACCACTCACCGAGTTCAATGACCTTGCTGAGAAGAAAAAAGCAGGACCAGAACTTGACTATGGAATTGTTGACGAAGCTGGCATAGCACACAGTTTGCTTTAGGCCCCCTCTAAGAATCACGATCCCCATAAAGCCCCACGTCCTCACTGCTCCTACAATGCTGAAATGAGACAGAGAAAGAGAGTGTAAGCATCTTTCCCACGCACTAATCCATATTTCCCCTTGGTCTGGCCAGGTTACTCAGTCCCAAATTCCACCACCTTCCCACCCTTCCAGTGGGATAAGTCACAGCTTCTGAGATCCTTGGATTAATCTACTAGCTCCAACCAGTAGTCTAGAGGAGAAGAGGTCTGGGGAAAGACCAGGGAATGCAGGGGGATGGGACTGAAAGTTGAGTTAGGGAATGGAGTTCTTGGGATGGGATAAGGCTTGGGAGGGGATAAATAGAAGAATGAAGAAGACTGAAGTAGTTTGGGGGAGAAACAATGGGAAGGGAGGACTGGGAGTAGTTATTGGAAGGTCTTGGGAGAGGGTTTTAGGAGCTAAGATTATTAGGGCTGGAGAAATTTGTTTGAAGTACAGACTTGAGTGCAAGAGTGATGAAGCAGAGACTGCCAGGTTGGAGTCTAGAAAAGAAATAACACAGAATAATATGGGAAGCTGGTGGAAGCTGGTAGGGGAACTAAAGCTGAAAGAATGGGAGAGGGAGAATGTTGTGAGGCAACTTGGGGATAAGATGGGAGTTGATGCAACTGGAGGTCTAGGTCTAAAGAATAGGTAGGAAGTAGGAGGAGGGAGTGTCTTACCTGAAGATTGCAAGGCAGAAAGACCAGAAGATGAGAGGCCCCTGCAGGTTGAAGCCTTTCCGTGCCTTCATGTATTTCTGCCCCACAAAGGTGAGCAGCAGGTAGATCAGAGCTATGGGGAAACAGGTTGCCCTGGAAGGCAAAAGGCAGAGGGGATGGGCTCAGGGTGAGTGTTGGTTATGCCCACTCATCCCTCCAGGTGAGTGCTCTGCCACTTACCAGCCATGTGACACTGGAAAAACTAACTTAATTCTCTGAGCCCAGCTTCCTCATTTGTAAAGGGGGGTTAATACTCCTCTCCTGGCAGTAGTACTAAATATAAAGTATCTAGCACAGGGCAGGAGCTATGCCCAAGGTTTCTATAATTATTGCTCTCTCAGTGGGGTTGGTGGGTGGTTGATTATTGCCTGCTCTTAGGATACTGAAATGGGACAGAGAGAGGGTAAGCATCTTCCTCAGGCAGTAATCCATCTTTCTCCAGGGCTGTGGTGTAAGAATGTGGCAATAGCTTCTGGCTGATTGGGTCATGACAAATTGGCCTGGAGCATATAGTCAGCCTACAAACACCTCTGAGGAGCTTTAAATCAAAGCCAGAGAGCCTGGGGAAAGCCTGAAAGAGCTCCTTGACTTTGTCTCTTTCTCCAGAGCAGGGACCACACAGCATTTGGGGAAGAACATACTTGTGAAGTGCAAGCTATCCCTGGGACCAGCACTATGCTAGCACACATACAGCTACAAAGGATGGGGAAAGTTATCTAGTAGGAGTTCAGATCAAATTCATTCCTCAGCGACAGTTCTCACTATATTCTTTCCCTTTGGCTTCCGTATCTTCCCATATTCCTATCTTTCATCCTTTTATTTCTACTTTCTTCCTTCAGCTCTAATTTCCTTGAGGTGCCACACTACCTGTACCTTGCACAAAGGTAATGTGGAGCCAGTACGGGGAGTCTGACACATATATGCTCTGTAACAAAAATCATTGCAAGCATTCAATATCCGCCCCCCACCCCCACCCCTGAGCTCCCACAAAAACAATCAGCAGGGTTGGGCCCCTAGCATGACCCTTCTCCTCCCCAAGCCTCACCAGTACTCCTCCAAAAAGGGCCTCATGTCCTGCAACTGCTCGAAGTTATAGGGCTGGAACAGCTGCTCCACTTCGTGTGAGATATTCATGGCTGTGACAAATTCGTTCTGCAGACGTCTAGGTCTAAAACTTGGGTGGCTAGGCGAGAGGCTGGGAGAGCCGAGAAGCGAATGAACCTCGGGGCGAGACCGAACGGACCCAGGACAGAAGGAACCCCTAAGCAAGATGAGGAGGGTATCGATCCATGCACGTGTGAGGTAGTTCAGCCAGCTCCTACTGCCACAGCCACTGAGGTATATAACGCGGAATTGCAAACTGGCAGGCCCAGGCTGCGCTGGACCCCTTCCCCATTCCCTGCAATTATCCAATCTCGACTAAGATACACCCCTGTTACGCCCCTAGACCTCAGTCCGATCTCTGATTGGTTATCCTCAAGGCCACCTCCCCTCTGCTCTTCGCACGCCCCGCCCCAAATATAGTTGTAGGCCCAGGTCCTGTCTGCTTTCCCACCTTCTCCTCTCCTTACACCTGCCCTACACCTGAGCAGCCTTGTGGGTGTACCTGAACCAGCCAGACTTCTCCTGCCATTGGCAACCGTAGCCTTTGCCTCAATTTGCTTTAATCTCGACCTGCTTGTCAGGAGAGAGTGGCCATAACCTCTCACCCAGAGATGAGGATGTCAGTTTCCAGGCCCCCTGAGATTTTGGGAAACCCAGGCCTGCAATGAGGAAATACCAAGCTGGGCAACCCAGAGTTTCTCCTGTAGTCCTTTCTGCCCCTGAGCTTTGGGTCTGTGTTTGTGGAAGGAAGGAGATGAATTTTTGGGGGGGAGGGGGGAGGTGGTGGGCCGAGGCTGGGTTTGAACCCGCCACTTGCAGCATATGGGGCTGGCGCCCCACTCCTTTGAGCCTCTGGCGCTGCCCAGGAAGGAGATGAATTGTAATGAATTTTATCATTGAAGTTGTTGATGTTTGTGGATGTTGAGGCTATTGTGGTTTCTTTACAGTTTCCTGAATTCCCAAAGGGCTCTAGTCTGACACTGATAACCTTGGGGAGGAAATGGGGTTATCCTCTGGGCTTCTGGAATTACTGTCTTCAGGTTTCCTGGAGGCATCTTAGGGTTTAGGGTGGAGGATGTCCAGTGTATCTCCCTAAGGCCTGCTGTTTTCTTTCCCAGTCTGTGCTTGTCTAATCAAATCTACTTCTTCTTCTACTGTGTATCCAGCTACAAAGAAAAAAATGTTTCAAAACTTTTAAGGTTTTACTTGGCTGTCCATTATTTCTCTCCAAAGTTTTATGGAAAGTGAAGGAGTAATACAAGGCTTAAGGCAGTCTGAGATGAGGTGGAAATTTGCAAAACAGTGTTAAGAAAAATAAATATAGGCTCAGCGCCTGTGGCTCAAGTGGCTAAGGCGCCAGCCACATACACCTAAGGTGGTGGGTTCAAATCCAGCCCGGCCCACCAAACAACAATAATGGCTGCAACCAAAAAATAGCCAGGTGTTGTGGTGGGTGCCTGTGGTC